TCCGAGTCGTATCTCAAATGAAATATATTACCCGGTGGACTTTGACAATAATTCGAGTCGTAAATGAATACAACTAACCACGCGGCAAAAGACATGTCAAATGTACTAGTTGCTAATGAAAATTCATTGATCGCTGCATCTTCAGAAATCACTGCGATGTAATGCGGTCTAACTATTCGATTTACGTAATATGACGATTCGTGCAATTCGAAAAAATACAAGTTCGAAGTGGTAAAACCTTGGCGTGAAAATGCACGAGTCCATTTAAAAATCATCGTGGTCATTTCTATTTCTAAAGAAAAGAAAACAAAAACAAATTCAAATTGAGAAACAATATATTATTATTATATAAACCATAAACTTCTATTACACTTTTGCCAATATTTTTCTACCTTTGGTCGAATTGGCGTATAAAAAGATGGTGGATTTTGTTCCGTAAAATTTGCAAACGTCGATGATAAATGAAACGTATTCGTCTTCGGTAGGAAGAAATTCGTATGATTTTTTCATCTCCGAAATAAGAATAAGAAAAAGAACGAATAGATTGAATCCCGTAAAAAGTCTCATTTTGTTTGTTTGTTTGCTTTTTAATAATAATTCACGAATTTTAAGACACTTTTGTTTTTTCTTTTTACATCGTACGAGTAAACTTTTCATGGACTAAATATGAATGTGACTGGAAGAGACGATTGTGTGGATGTGAGACTAAATTTATAAATTATTAAATAGAATTATTGTCAATTTGAATATTGCGATTGTCGTGGAGATTATAATGCACGCAACTGTTTTGCATGAGCATTTACTGATCATGACAAATATTTTATTCGTGCTCGCACTGATCTATCAATTGATCGGTTAATAAAATATTATTTGTATATTTCTTTTGAATATTCTAGCAAATATATATAAATCAGAATTCAAGGATACACGCGTTACATCGTTTTTTATAAGAAATAATTTTATAATGCAAATTCTTTAAAAACAAATATACAAACTATAAATCCATTATTTGTTTTACGAAATTATGAGAGTATTATAGAAAATAATTATAATCGATTAAAATACATGTTAAAAAGTTTGTTTTAATGTATTGTAAGATACCCTGTTGATAAAAATTTATATTACATATAGTTGTAAATTGCATCGTCTTAAAATTAACATAGCAATTACTCAAAAATAATTTAATAGCTGTAATAATCGATATAATCTAGACATGAACTATATACGTAATGATTCGTGAACTTCACAAGTTATAGTTCGATAATTCTTTCTACATAAACGAAAGCTTTGAGTGAAGGCAAGTACTGTATACACAAATGACAATTATATTATAAACATTAATTGAAAGAGCATATTAATGTCATTACTACAATAATGTAAATCTTATAATTTTTCAAATTTTGTGCAACATTTTTTCTAGAATGTTTCAGTTTTAACATCAAATTTTTGCAAAATAATAGACGGAACAATTTGCAAAACTAATTTCTTCTTCTTTTTACGAGCAAAAACACACACTTCGATGATTAGTATACAAATACTTAATACAATACCAATTAGAATAAAGAAAATAAGTGATATTACACTGGTTATGTGAACTGGCTTATATTTAATATTATCTGCATATGTCATTCTCAACGACTTCTGCTTTAAATGATGCATTCTTCCACTGTCGATAAATTTTTGCAATCTACAACAAGGATGAGCTTTGAAGTATACGATAAATGATATATTAACAGTAATAATGTAATACTTGCTGAAAATTGATGACGTCGGTGTACGGATTGTTTTTCGACAAAATTATACCAATACTATCTGATAGTCCTATTCGGATAGAAACAATGTCACATGGTAACTTAATATTAATATTTTCTTTTACTGCCTCAGATGTATAGAAAGCTATATTCTGATTTTCACAAACCTGTAATTTTTTAAGAAATAATAATAAAATAACGCATCTAAAAATTTACCTTTTTTTTTTCTTTTAATAATTCATCTTACTGTATTAAATCCTATCACTGCACTTGTTGACAAATTTTCTTCTTTTATCATTAATTTCCTTATTTTTGGCGCATATGGTTTCTTCATGTTCTATAAATAAAAATAATTCCACGATATTGTACATTTATATTTTTCAATACACTCTATTGTTATAATAAGTTACAATTATTTTAACATTAATAGTTCAAAAAGCAAGCTGGTAATTTCTAAGCTAAATTATACGAGAATTTTTTATATTATATCAAGAGTCTGATGAGTTTTAACTGATAAAGCAAATTCTACAAAAAACCAATAAACAATAAGTATTATACTTACCAAAAACATTTCATAAGTATGTGATCCACGAAAAACATAAAGCTGATAAGTACCGTCTTTAGCAAATTCTTCGAATGAACGAAATGGTAAAATTTTGTTCGCAGTAGTTAAAAAACTAATCAAAGCAGCTGAATAAGCGGCCCATAAGACGACTACTAAAATAAATATTGAGAAATATACTATTCTTAATGAATAAATATCAGGAAAATCTGAAAGAAAAATATAATTTATTGTTAAAAAAGAGAGATAAATTCGAAAAAAATAAAAAAAAATATATTAAATGTCAAACCTGCTAGACCCTGCTGACACAATATACCCCAAATCTCTAGAAAACTATCCGCTAATAAAAATTCTGTTTTTCGATCAGTTCCAGCATTTAGTTTTAAAAAAATTAGCAAGATGGATGCAACGATTAATACCCCAAACATAGAAATCCAGATATAATACGAAAACGTCTATTAAAAAAAATATAGCGTTCGTAATAAAATGAGGATAAGAAAAATAAAAAAATGAACATAATTTGATCATACCAAAAAAAAAGATGACCATTTAAACGAGAATTTTTGTGGTTCTTGAATAAAGAAACAAGTCTTTGAGACTATAAAGGGAAGCGTGAAATCAACGACATCTAATCTATTATTAGTCAAACTAAAATCAGATACAGCAATATCAGCTCTTCCAGAAATTAATTCTCCCATTGCACCAGACCAACTCTTATTTTTTTGATTCCATATTCCATGCTCTTCAATTTCTGCGACAATTTGGAATGTAAAATTCAGAGCAACACACAGTTCTTCAAATATTCTACCAAATATCCCATCTAATCTACCATTCTTCTTAACTTTTATAAATTCAGAGTTCTAAATAACAAAAAAGACAAGAATATGAAAATTTGTTAATAAGAAAATTATATGTCATTGATTATATTAGAAACAATAAAACGTAATGTTTTAAAGGATTTTTCAAAAATATAATAACTAAAAGGTCTGCCAAAAAATTCGTTTACCTTAACTGTAACAAGTTTCATATTTATACCCTTTAAATTATTCCTTCTATCGTACAAAGTATTAGAAACAATAGTTGTTATTCCGTTTTCTAAACTCCACAATGCTACGTCATCGATCTCCGTTTCATTTTTATCGACCGAATACCATTCACGTAAAATATTTTCCCTATTGCAACGGACGATCATTTTCGAGTCGAATCTCAAATGAAATATATTAAACGGTGG